ACTGATATATGAAATTTCCGGAAACATCTTCGAAAATTCATATCTTACTATTATGAAAAGATTCTTATTAATATTAATGCATACATGTACACATACACTGTTTATTTAATTTTTAAACCTTAAACGTCGATCAATATATAGATTTTTATTGAAAATATATTTTGCTTTGGTGCTATATCTAGTGCTATAATTCTGTATGATAATTCGGTTTCCAACAATTAATTGAAACTAAAGTTCACCTGAGTCTAGGTTTTTTTGAAGATTAGAAAGGTATAATGTTAACATTAATTGATCAATGTTGTTTTGTTACAAGTTTTTATCATGAACATGTAAGTAAAAGTTTTGTTACAATTAAAATTTTGTGCCAGATTTATTTTAGATTACATTCAAAGATATATAAATGTTTCAATAAGTTTGTATATTACGTTTTTAGCATTTCTAAAGTGTCATATATTAAATTAATCAGTATTGCTAGAAAAATTAACTCGTGTTAACTGTAGCTCATCTAATCTGTCTCTTATCATATAATAAAAATTTAGAATTTTATATTAATATTGATTAATGTCAGTGATTACAATCCATTACTTTCAACTTTAATTTTTAAGTGATAACATTTTCTTTATTTTTTAATTTTTACTATTTTTTTATTTATCTACTATCGACTCTTAGACGTTTGCATGTATTTGATTTTTGTAATTTGATAATACTTTTGGAAAATAAAAATTATTTCAATTTATAATGAACGTTACTACACTACAGTATCGAATTTCTCAGTCTATTGCGTGTTAACATAAATACGTAATGTCGCTATAGTTTTGATATTTTTCCTCGTATGAAATAAACTGTTTCGAAGAACGATGGCATGTAAAGATAAATTAATTTGAAAATAGTAAGATAATAGTAAGTTATTGTTACAAACTAGTCTGAAAATATATTAAATTGAGCACAACATTCTTTCTACGATACTGCATTAATAAAACGAAAGAATAAATTCGATTAGCATTTTATGAATGCAATAGTCGCACATTAATCAGACTCAAGTGATATTTTCTCTTTTTTTCCATATTTTTTTTTTTAAAGAAAAACGAAATTTTATATTATTTAGTTCTCAAGTTTTATAAATTTGATTTTTTATCTTTTTCTATTTTATAGATGACCTATAATTTATGTCAGAGTTCAGAATAAAATTCTGTTTATTATTATATTTTATTTATATATCATAAATATTTGAAAAATTGTAATACGGAAAACATTAAAGAATCAAAATATGTTTGTATGTATGTATAAATACAAATATAAAAGTACACGAATACATCAAAATATATACGCGACATATAAAAATATAAATAGAATTAACAGTTTTATTCCGAAAGCTGATGTAAATTATAGATCATCTTAAGTGGACTTCATCTGTACTTATTTTTATATATAGTATATTATATTTTAGTATATACTGAATTTGAAGAATTCGATTGGAAATTAGATTGGAAAATTAAAATTAGATTGGATATGTAATTTAATCCATCTCTTAATTTTTTTATGTTTATATTTATATTCTTATTCATTCTTTCTTTCTATTCTTTCTACATTCTTTATAACTGTAGTCATCGATCTTATCACGCTATTCTTCCTTTTTTTATCTACTGATCTTTTTCTTTTTATTCTATAACTTATGATTCTAATTTTCAATGACCCTGAAGTGCTTTATATGCATTTCTATAATATTTGTAGAATATCTGTTTTTTTTTAAATAATGAATAATTCGTTAATTTTCCTTTGATTAAAATTTTATTCATACTTGCGATAAAAGGTATATAACTTAAAAAAAAAACTTTTGCAACTTTTAATTGTCCTTTAGGTATTTAATTACAATTAATATAAATTAGAAATAATTGTATATTGACATAAATTTGTCGATGCGATAAGTTTTTTATTTATAATATTATTATTTATAATATTAAAATAGGGTTAACGTGTTATGAATATATTATAAACGTGTAAATGTAAAAGATGATTAAGTAGCAGAAAACTGTTTAGAGCGTATATATAGCAGCTATCAAGAAAATGATTATGTACAGGTAAATAATTTTATTCACTTTTCCAACTTTCCACTCCTTACTAGCTTACAAAACTTGTCATAGAATATTTTTTTAAATTGTATCTAAGGTTTTAAGGAATTACGATTGTTAATTTCTTTTTTATACATATGTTTTAATTTATGATTTATGCATTAGTTGGCCGAATCCAGAGATAAATTCAAGGCAGATTGGCCTCTCTCTTAGATTGGTCTCTCTCTCTCTCTCTCTCTCTCTCTCTCTCTCTCTCTCTCTCTCTCTCTCTCTCCATCTTTTATTGCCACTATTTTGAATGGTTAAGGTCGCACTGATCGCAACTGGTTGAATAGCGGAAGTATTAGGATCAGACAAATGATCTTGTTGTGAGGTCACCAGACCTGTTTTACTGACCTTAGATTGTTGGGGAAGGTTGAGGTTTATGAGTGCCTGAAAATTTAACTTCGTCTGAGCCAAGAACAGTAGTTAAGATATAACTGTCACGTATTACATTTGAATTGATGTATCTGTTTGATTAAAATGCTTCTTAATTGTCATTCCATAATAAGTATATTTAAGATAGTTTTCCAAATGGACGGATAATTCAACAAATCGGCAATAAATGGCAAATTGATTAAAGCTATAAAGATATTGTACGAAAAGACTATTTAATTAGTTTTTTATATTCTTACATCTTACATCGAAATACCATTTCGAAAGCATTATTTAATAATACACATCATATACAATACGTGCAATATCGCGATTATAATAAAGTGTTTCACAATTGATCTTCAGGAAAAGGTGACTCTCTTGACCAGTATCGATTATGCAGCAGCGACGCGATCGTTTCTCTTCACCATCGAATTTCTAGTCGCGATTCTACAGGCTGATTCATAAAAAATACTGTAATAAAAGAACTCAATTGTTTTATAATTTAAGAAAAATTTTAAATAGAAAATTTTACATCTTGATATAATTGAAGTAATATTATTAAAAAGAGAGGAAAGAAAGAGAGAGAGAGAAGAGAGACTAAATATTTGATATTTCAATTATTACATTGAAAAATTTAGGCGAAATTTAGGCGAAATTTCTTGGTATTGTAGAGCGATTCATAAAACCGTGACTATCGGAATTTGAATTTTGAGGAGATTTAAAATTATAAGTTTTGGATGATCGACGAGAGAGATTTTTAACAACTATGAAATATATTTAAATTGATACTTATATTTAGTTCCTATCTTTCTAGCGTTATTTATATTTTAAACATTCTTCTATCTAAGTTTTCTGTATATTAATATGATATATTATTGATTAGAAGTGCACTCTATATTAATATTAAAACTTATTTTCTACATTTTTAACGTTTATTGAATTATATTTATTGAACGTTTATTGTGACATTATTATTGTGACATATCCGCATAAAAAAATTACATTTTTGTTACATAAATATTTTGTACATCACAGAGTTAAGCGTTCCTTCAGAATTACAAAGCGATCTGTCATTAACTGATATCTTTGCAATATTTATAAGATTTTTATCATAGCCTTTCTACATTTTTGCAAATTTCTTTTTTTTTATCTTTTTTTTAATAATGTTATACATATTTTTCATTTTAAGTATAGAACATGGTATAGGAGAAGCGAAAAGAAAGAAATGTCTGTAATTTTACTAATGGAATTTGTCGTGTTGGCCTTTACTGTTACTATATATATTTATATTGTTTTTTCTTAATATTTAATTATTTATTTATATACAATATATTTATTTAAATTTATCCAAATCGAAAGCTAAGTAGTTAGAAACGAGAAATACTGAAATAAGAAAGCAATTAGAACTGCAATTAGAAAATAATCTATAATCGCAGTTAATTTTTATAATTGTTATAGTTAAATAATATTTTATTCTGTACTATTCTAATTTATCCAATAATATTATATTCTGCCTTATATTCCGCGATTTTTTACATATATTTTTGTTTAAATTAAAAATTTATAATATAGTTTTGAAATATTAGTTTTAATAAAAATCTCGTCTTTTTACTATTTGATGGAATAGATATAAATTTTATTGCATAGTGTTGTATATAAATAAAATATATCATATTTAAATTTGTCTTGCAGAACTTTGAATAAAAAAAATTTTATTTAAAATATTGTTTTTAATTTTTTAGTTTTATTTCATTTTATATTTTCTTATTATAATGTGTATTTTATTCTATGATATAATATTTTGACTTTATGATTATATGATTCTATAACAAATTCTATTGTATATTGCAATTTGGAAAAATAAAATCTTTATTGAATGACATGTAAGAGAGAATAATATATTGAGATATGTCTTCGAATGAATCGCTCTGTATATGTATCCGATTCTGTCAGAATCGCGAGAGCGCCGCGGTACCGCGATGCGCCGGCGTCAAAATATTGAGCCGATAGTATCGCGCGTTAGACCAGCACGTAGACAGCTTCAACGCGGCCCTGAAGACATGGGGTAAGTCCTCTCTCTTCGTCCTCGTCGTTTTGCTCGCGACTTGCCCCGATCGAGTGTCGATCGCGTGCTCGAGTTATCATTATAACGATTCTCCTGCCTTTGGGATTTATGAGATCTCGCACTTTTGGCCTTCAACTTCCTTCTCTGCGACAGAAGCGCCTTGGCGCTCGTCGGCCATTTTACAAAAATATAATAATGTATATATGAATATTTGATATTTTATTATATAGCATACACCTAAATGCGTAGGATGAAATATTTTATTGATATTCTTTTATAAAAACTAATTGCTATTTATTCTTTACAACACAAAAAGTAACTGTTTATATTTGTATCATATTTGACTATTTATATTTGTCAACAGAACATTTATACATTTTCTATAGAAAAAGAAAGAAATCTGTTTGTTTCGCAAATGTAAAATTTCCCTACTTTGTTTCTATTTTCAGTAAAAAAATTGAGAACATAGGCAGAATGACGGCGATGACGCAGGAGGAAATTGTGGCTGGAGCACGGACCGTCGCACAAGGACTAGAAGCTCTCCGAGTCGAACACGGTGGTCTACTACAAGGCCTGCAGTCTCAGGACGCACCTGCCGCTCGGGACAAGGCTAGTCTGCTTTCTAAAATCATCGAGATGATCGACCTGGGCCTAGGCGAAGCGCAAGTGATGCAAGCGTTAGCGAGTCATCTGCAGATGGTAGAAGCAGAAAAGCAGAAACTAAGGACGCAGGTGAAGAGGCTGTGCCAGGAGAACGCTTGGCTTAGGGATGAGCTAGCTGGTACACAACAGAAGTTGCAAGCGAGTGAGCAAGCTGTAAGTTACTTTCAACGTTATTAATCCTAATTTATTAACGTAACATGATTTTATTAAGTGAAAATTGACTAATGAGATTAAACACACATAAGTAAAAAATGCCTAACATTCGGTCAAGACGATTTTTTATGAATAATATTTTTTATGAATTTAATTTTAAAACACAGTTCTAAACCAAAGCTGGAGTCGTAATATCACAAATTAATTGACAAGCAATTTAATGTTGTTGATGCAAATATGCATCTTAGAAAGCTGTTAATAATGTTAATAAATATTTTGAAAATTAAGTAATTTATGGCGAAAAATCTTAACATCAAATTATAGTGTTAATACCCCGTAACTTCGAAATTGTTCGGAATCGGATACAGCCGTGCTTGATGACATTCAACGCGTTGATCCCACCGCGGTGTTCAATCGCAGGCCGTCACTTATAAGTCAAACAAAAATGACCCATGATAACAAATCGTTTCAAACAAAACACATAACAATCCCCTTTTAAGAAATAAATCAATAAACGTATGGAAACGATCGATTTCTCTATAAGCTGGATTCTTTCAAGCTTGTATCAAACTATAGATGAAAATTGAGATTAGATTTAAATTTAACCAATCAGAAGAAAGAAAAGGAATATCAAGTTTAATGAATTTTTTTGATTAGTCAAATTTCAATTCAATCTTAATCTTATTTGTAGCTTGATAAGATTAAAAGAGCAGCCGTGAATAAAAGAATTGCGCAAAAGGAGCGGACTGCAGGATTTCGAAAGTAATAACGCGTTATATAGTCTTGGTTAATTCTAAACAAAGGAATACGTTCGCTAACGAAAAGTATGCTCATTCCTTTTATCGCCGTTGCTCGCGGAACGAAAGTACTTGCGCACTTTATTTGCAATCTTTCTTGCAGTCTGCTCCATAGCTCGCAAAGTGTGCATCTACATAAGAGTTTTGCGACATGTCGGTTGAAACTCTGTTGCTCAGTCAAATCTGGAAGTGTATTACATTGCAAAATTCTGTGGTCCTTACCTAAAATTAGTTTTATGTATAATGGCTTTTATTAAAATTGGTGCCATATAGTTCAGACTTTTATCATTCTTAACCTTTTTAAAACCTTTTATCTCTCTCACTTACTATTTACCTACCATATGTTTATTACAAACACTGAATAAGAAATTATTTAAATGAGTCTTTAATGATTAATTATAGATATCTTGTGCCTATGATTTACAGAGAAGAATTGTAATACTTGACATTTTCGACAAACTTCTTCGCATAAAAGCAAGGACAATTTTTTTAGCAATAATCACAAAAATATTAATAATTGAAAAAACTCTTTTTTATTAATAATTTTTTTATTACAATTTGTTATTTTAGTCAGTTACAAATTTATTACATTCGCAATGTATCTCGCAGGTTGCTCAATTAGAAGAAGAAAAGAGACACTTAGACTTTATGGCCAGTATGCGACAATACGATCCGGATCCATCAACAGAAGATGAAAATGCTAAGGATCGACCAAAGGACGATCCTGTGGTGGATCTCTTTCCTGATGATGATACCGACGATCGCAACAGCAAATGTAAGTCTTTCTATCTTTGAATTATTAAAAAATTTGAAAATTTCTGAAATTTAAATTTTTATAAAAATAATTATTAAAATTGATAATATATACAGTAATGTAAGTAATTTAACATTAAGTAGGAAATTATAAACGAATAATAATAATGATTGCGATTTAATCAAATTTTTTAATTATACAAATTACATTTTTTAATTATTACTTTTAAATGAATTAAATACGAAATAGAACTTTATAAGTATTGCATGGCTATTTCTTCAACAAAGATTTCTATTGTATTTTTCAAGCTATATCTCCGACTCCGCCCTCGCAGTTTGCTCAGCAAGTGAATGCTGGCTATGAAATACCGGCACGCTTGCGCACACTGCACAACCTGGTGATCCAATATGCGAGTCAAGGCCGTTATGAAGTGGCGGTTCCTCTGTGTAAACAAGCTTTGGAAGATTTAGAAAAAACCTCTGGTCATGATCATCCTGACGTGGCAACCATGCTTAATATCCTTGCTCTCGTATATCGAGACCAGAACAAATATAAAGAAGCCGCGAATCTTCTGAACGACGCTCTAGCGATTCGAGAGAAGACGTTAGGTGAAAATCACCCCGCAGTAGCGGCAACGTTGAACAACCTCGCAGTGCTATATGGAAAACGAGGAAAATATAAGGAGGCTGAACCCCTATGCAAACGAGCACTAGAAATCCGCGAGAAGGTACTAGGTCGCGATCATCCGGATGTAGCAAAGCAATTAAATAATCTGGCACTATTATGCCAGAATCAAGGCAAGTACGAAGAGGTGGAGCGTTATTATCAACGAGCACTGGAAATCTATGAGGTTAAGCTAGGGCCGGATGATCCAAACGTCGCTAAAACGAAAAACAATCTAGCATCTTGTTACTTGAAACAAGGAAAATACAAGGATGCCGAGGTGTTATATAAGCAGGTGCTCACTAGAGCGCATGAGAGAGAATTTGGCGCCATCGATGGTGACAACAAACCGATTTGGCAGGTACGAAATAGTGAATCACAATCCATATTGAATATCTATACCTATATAGAAACTGCGAACAAGAAAGTTTTGAGCCAGTTTTTGAGAATCTTTTCAGAAGATAAAAATGTGGTAGCTCGAAGTTCCTAAAGAATTATATATAAAAAAAGCTTAATTTATTCGCTGTAATTTCCTTTTAAATAATTTCTTTTAGAATAATGTAATAATTGCTTAAATATTTGTAATATGAAGATTTGTTCCTAATACGTGGTTACTCTTTAAAGACAAATAAGATTTCTGGAATATTTTATTTACAAATGTATCTACTTAATTTTAAATAGATACATTTGTGTGATAATTTTAAATAATTAAATAATATAATTGTGATATAT